GTATTATACTTGTTCTAACATTTTATTTATTAAAGAAACTTTTTATTTGAAAGTACAATGGTCTAATGTGAGTGCCATTCCATAAATCTTTTCTTTTGTTATTTATTTATGTATAAGAAGTACTATGTTGGCTGTTATAACATCCTATTTTTGTGTTTCTTAATATATTTATGTTGGCTTTAATAATTTATTTCATGTATACTTTTGCTATAATAGGAGGCTCGTGGAAGAATATTTGGATTTGCATCTAGTAAAATAATGTCCCAAAAGGTTCGTTTAATTTTGTCTATTATAGTATCCTACTTCCATAAAATTTCACTTTATAGTTTTTCCTATCATAAGTTTCTAATAACAAAATCTAACATCCTATATTCATGTTTTAACTGTAGCTTGTGTATGAACACTGGAAATATGTGGGGAGATGGATATTAAAGATGTGAAAGCTATGGAAAATTATGAATTATGGTACTTTGAAATCAAATGAAATATCAATTAAAGTTAAACTTTGATATATGATGTTTTAGGATTTTTTTGGTAAACTTTGATGGTTGATGCTTTTGGTATTTCAAGGTTAATTGTTGGTTTTGGAGTGTATATTTATTATTGTTTTTGTTATTTAAATATTAATGTTTAATTGTTTTGGGATTGTATAATTTATTTGATTTTTTTGGTATTTTTGGTTTAGATTGGTAATAAAAAGAAATAAAAAATTATGTTATTATGTTATTAAATTTGCGACAGTTCAGCAAGGGACTAAAACAAATCTTTTATCGCACATTTGCGAGGGATCAACGATGGATTACAAAATTTTGGCATCATATATTTGCGACGGATCAGCAACGGACTGCAAAAATAAAATATGGAGATTTGAGACGCATCAGCGATGGAATAATGTTACTATGTTTTGTCGTTGGATGTCCTAAATAAGTGTAGTAAGTAACCATTTGCGATGGATAATCTGTCACTAAATCGTCGCAAGTAAAAACCAATCTGTCGCAAAAACTCTCGCTGGCACATTAGCCATCCTTAAATTGGCTATGGAGTTTGTCTGTTGCTGATCTGTCGCAAAAAATCATTAGCAACGGAATAGCGACGGATTGGTCTGTCGCTGAAACTCTTGTTTCTAGTAGTGTATGTTCTTTCACGAAATTGATGAAATAGGAAATTTGATATAAGCGGATTGATAGTGGTGTGAAATTTCATCCAAATTCGTATTTATTTTTTCATTATAGAAGAACTATATTTGACATCTAATATCAAACATGTCCATTCATAATAATATATTACAATTTATATAAATTAGACATTTTTAATTGACACATACCGTTTATTAACTTTTTTTTATATTACCTAGAAAGAGCAGTTGTTAATCAAGTATCTTCCCTCCATCTTTCATGTTGTTTTCTATACTTATTTTTCTTCATATTAAACACCCTCTTGTGTGCCTTATTCACTCCTAATCAAAGTTTATATTGGTTTAGTCGTCAAATTTTCTTTCATTTTCTAGAATACTATGCCTTCATAATTTACTTGAAGCACAACAATGGAATATAAACAAATAAATAGGATGTTATAATGCATCAGAAATTGAAAGTGTTGTTACTTATGGATTGGGTTTTGGGTGATTTATAGGGATATCTTGATGATAAATTCACACAACTTCATAAGGTGCAAGATGAGAGCAAACCTGATTTTGTGGTCAAAGTGGTGAATGTATGTAATGTTTATTTTGTAAAATTCATTTTTAAATGCAATCAATTTTCACATATAACTGCATTCTATTTATACAATCAAACAAAAAAAAAACCTTCCAACCCATGTGAAGCATGGAATACTTCAATAGTACAAAATTAAAATATAGTTATAGATTTTTTTATGTTGTTTGTTCTTCAATATTTAATTCAAATAATATTTCTTTTCATAATATGTTTTCTCAGAATATAGTAAGGTTTGTGAAAACAGATATTTTCGTTTTAGACAAAATTACATAAATGGTCCTTAAGGTTGGAAAAGATACCATTATAAGTCTTTGAATTTTTTTAATATGATTTGTTCTTTTCAAGTTTAAAACGGATATGATAGATTTTTTTTACTGACCATAATGACTCATGGTGTGTTTTTTAAACCTAAAAATGACCAATCATGTTAACAGTTCATCAAAAAGACCGACAATGGTTTTTTTTAGTAAACTACATGAATGGTCATATGGTTTGAGGTAACTTGTGTGTTTAATCCCTAACTTTTATTTTTAACTTGGACCATATGCATAGGCTATGCTATACAGGTGCATATAATTTTGGTGCATACAATTTTTTTATTTGTTGCTGAATTGGTACCATATGCATAGGCTATGCTATACAGGTGCATATAATTTGTTGCTGAATTGGCACCATATACACAGGCTATACATGTGCATATAACAGCACAAACTGTCATTTTAATCATACTTTGTTGTTAAATTTCTCATATTAACAACATATTTTGTTTAATTTACCATCAAATACAGGTGCATATAAGACACTAAACCCAACTTCATTATCATAAAATGGGGTTTCAACACATATATACCATCTGAAGACTATTACAGACCTAGTACCAACCTATCAACTACATCTTGGTGATAATTACAATAAGACACACAAATATTGCCATTAGAAGTCTTGTAATCAAACGTACTAGAATTGTCAATGTGTCTTTGTTCTCATGCAGGTGCAGTTGGGACCTTGAAGGCATGCAATCCTTTTCATTGAGCCACCTAAAGAACCCACACCCCCGTTATCATCCCTGTAATTTGGGCACCCTTGGTACTTTCTACCATAGTTCTTAGGTGTGTGCGCGACCTGAATTAAGCAAAATTTGTCACACTCGTATATATGATCGCTAACCCTACCTAGTGAAGATCGCACATTGCTCGAATTTGATCGAGATATTGTCATGAATTTTCCGTGAAAATTCTGCGTCTTGAACCTTTAATTGAATTGGGAGCACAGTTGAAGACGACGAGCCCTAATCTTGACTTTATGGTTAAGGTGACCGGTAACGGGCGATTAGATGAGTGAGTTTGCAGGTTAAATGGCTATTGCGACACAAATTGGACAACTATCTGATTTCTCTGGACCTAAATTGTGACAAAGGGGTTAAACCAAACATTTTAGACAAACTCTAGGCTTTTTATGCCATTTGGCCATACACTAATCATTAAATTCTAGTGTTTAATAAAAATATTATTGGAACTTACTCTAAAAAAAAGAAATTAAATATCCTTTTATAATTTCTTTCTAGTTATCTTCCTATCCATTTTAAATGGTGACAAGTGGATTAGAATATTATTAAGAAAAATTAAATATGACATATATCATCATTTGACATAGGTATGAGAAGGTAGAAAAAAATTATAGTAGGATATTTAATTTCACAAAAAAAAAAAAATCATTAGTAAGGTAAACATAACATACCACTCCCCCAAAATTAGAAACTAACTACTAACTATTAGACTAATTCATTAAAGTAAATGATTCATAGTTTCATACATAATATTTTCTCCATACATAATAGTTTAAGTTTTATAAGGTTGTACAGTACAATATGTTAAAGTATAAATTATTATGTATGAAGAATGTTATGTTAAAGTGGATATATATATATATATATATATATATATATATATATATATATATATATATATATATATATATATATATATATAGAGAGAGAGAGAGAGAGAGAGAGAGAGAGTTAGGTTAAAATATTTCTCACATCTATTATGTGCTAGAATGCACCAATAAGAAATTAGTAAAAATTAAATTATTATTTAATCAAATAAAGATAGATATTAAATAATTTTCATAATTATATGTATATTAAATGATATCTATAATTATAATTTTTTTTATGTAAACTAATTAAATTCATCATTAATATATGCAATTATATCTACGTTTTCTATATGAGTTTATATTTTGTTTCATAACTCATTCACTCAAAATACAACAAAATTGTCTGAAACAAGGAGAACGAGAGTTTATTCTAAAAAAATGAGAATATATTTTAATAGAATGAAAGTGTATTTTAGTATAATACACTCTCGTTCTTCATGTTCCATGCAACTTTGTTGTATTTTAAGTGAGTGATCTATAAACAAAATATGAACCCATACATAAAAACCTATATGAGAATTTATTCTATAAGAATGTTATTGTTGACATTAATGATGAATTTAATTAGTTTCTATAAAAAGAGAATTATAATTATGAATATCATTTAATATATATATATATAATTATGAAAATTATTTAATATCTATCTTTATTTAATTAAACTATTATTTAATTTACTAAATTATTATTGGTCTATTATAGCATATAATAAATGTAAGAAACATATATATATATATATATATATATATATATATATATATATATATTATATATATATATATATATATATATATATATATATATATATATATATATATATATATATATATATATATATTGAAAAAAATGTTTTTTAGATAAATTTGTATTTAGGACTTTGTTAATTATATTTTAATGTTTCGTTAACTATTGATGATTAAACCTTAACATGTTTCATAACAATATATAAGCATACATGAATCGTGTGACAGAATATGTTGATCTTTTTTAGTGTTCTTGTGTTAAAAATTGTCTGTGTCATGTGTGTTGTACTTTTGAATATTTTTTTTTTTTAACTTTTTCATAACGTGAGTTCATGATATTTTTAAAAGTATATGTACATAAAAGTAATGTTCTATGCAAAAAGTGTTTTAAAAGAGGTTTATTCATATTGTTGTGTATAAAAAGATAATTCATTGAAGTTGTACTTGTTATATGTGAGATAGCATGCTTATTCATTTAGCTGTTTACATTACATAGATCATGAATTTGGATGTGTATGTTACCATGCTATTTGATTTATTTAATTGTTTACGTTTTCAATTATGATGATACTAAAAAAAAAAAACAACTTTTGCACTACAATTTCGACACAAAATCCATTTGCATATATATTTTGAGATCATTTCCCACAAAAAGATTGCATAATCTTTCTTGATCTTGATCATCAAGTGAAGATAATGCATTATAAAAGAATATTAAACTATATATATAAGCTTAAATGGGGTTTGGATATTATAACCCATATCATGTGCACTTTTAATTTGTTTTATCCCTTGATTAAATCATCTATCCCGATCTAATCTATAATTTGTCCAATCTTCTATGTCAAATATGACATTCACTCTCAAAGTCAACCATGAGTTTGTTGATCTTCTTGTTACTTATTCTTTGTGACACCATCATGCTCTCCCCCACCATCATACTACAAAACAAAAAAAAAATATTCTTTTAGCAACTCATTACAATTTCATATAATATGTAACTTAGGATCAGATACAGATACATAGTGATCCACTAGGTGGCTGACAACCATGTATCCATAAAAGTCAAAAGAGCGCAATTCACAGTGGAATTGAAACTCTCGTATTATAGCTGTTGAAACTCAAACCCTGTTTCTGCAAACCAATGCTTAATCACAACTCACCTTGGTGGAAGTGAAGAGACATCAGAAGGTAATAGGATTTGTGCTAGCTTCATAGCATCCTCATTGGAGTTGATGACATGGTTAAAGCACAAATATCGACCATAAGCCGAACTTTCTTCGAAAACACAAATGTGAGAATCTACCAAAAATTTGAGGTCAACCGTAACAAAAATCCCATCTTTGTACATCTCGGCTGCGCCTTTTAAGTACGGGTGTGTGATCGTGAGATCAGGGCTCAACAGTAATCCAGCGTTTATGGACACCATGCTTACCCCTCGGTCCATGGCTAGGGCCCACGCAGTCTTTTCAGCTAATGTTTTTGATAATCCGTGCCATAACTGTTTCATTGATTTATCCGCAAATTAGATAAATGAAAAAAAAGGGAGTAATGATAGTCATTATATGTAATTAACTATTATATTTTATTTTTTTCAAAATAAAATATCAAATAAAGTAAAGTTTGACTTTTTTTTTTTTAATTACGCTATTGACGATGGTAATTGATTAAATTTAACTATTCAACAAAACAACCAAAGAAAAATATTCTTTGAAAAAATATTATTTTAATATTTTTTATTTGAAAAATATAATTTTAAAATTGACTATTAAAATAACAATTGGTCGTTTCATGCCTTTTAGGCTTTTACAGAAATAAATTATTATATAAAAATATAATTGTTTGCTTTTAACGTAACCCGATAATTAACTTTGAAATGATTCATTATTCCGTTTGTCGTAACATTTTTTTTTCAATTCAATGAACCCTTCCATTATTTGCTCTATCAAACACGACATGAATCTTAATGGGCACTTTAAAGTTTAAAGCATGTATACCTTGAATTTCTTGCAGAAATTGACATTGCTCCAATTTCGTTCATCAAAATCAGGCGAAGAAGATGATGAATCAGTTGGGTCTCTCCAAATTGAGGCAGTCGCAGATGAAGTAAACACCACTTTGTCAATGGTGTCGGTTTGAGCACACGCTTCCAACACGTTATGAGCTGCTCTTACCTCCATTTCCGTCATCAATTCCTGTTTTCATTTCAAACCAATACATGTAAATTAAGCATTCATGATTCATCCATTGAAGATTCAACTGAAATCGAAACTTATAACACTACACACATCATAAGAAGGCTGATCCGATGGAGGTTCAAATGAGTAAAACAATCCGCAACATCCTTCCAAAGCCTCTACTATACTGTGATAATCCAATGGGTCTGTGTAAAACACTCTCAATTTCTTCTTGTCAACAATCGTTCTCTCCATAGATTGCATCTCCACTGAAAAATTAACAAATTCAAAGTTATTTCAATTCAATTCGCACCCAAATTGAAATCCCCAATTTACATATCCAAACGAAAATATAAAAGGAAAGAAACGAAGTACCATGACTGTTAATTGCAGCATGAACGAAGTAACCCCTTTGAAGAAGACGATGCACAAGTGCAGATCCTAAACTTCCACCAGCATCCATTACACAAACTGTCTTCGATGAAGACGAAGATCCATCAAAATCAACCGCTGCGGGCGCCATTTTGATCCGGGAGAGAAAAGGTGTGTAGAGTAGCTGGCAGGCCGCTGTGTTTTGTGAGCTGTGAATGGTTGCTTTAATGTGAGAGAGAGAGGGAGAAAGAGAAAGAGGGAATATGGTGTGTATGGATATAGAGGTATGATCCGTATGTGTGAATAATATATAGGGGGGAGGGAAAGAGAGTTGGGAAGGAGGGTAGTTAAGGAGGGAAGATGGAAAAAGGTGAGCATTTATGAGTAGTTAGGTTAAAGGGGTGGATGGGATTTCGAAATATAGTTTGGATGGTTGTTGTTGTATGTGATAACACCAATTCCAGAAATTTCTTACGTTTGCTCTTACGTTTACTTGTTTGTTTATGGGTTTGAGGCGTAGCCCGTAGCTGATAACGAAAACCAGAGGCGGACGCAGGATTTCATATTTAGGGTAAAACGGAAAAGTTGAATAGTGATACAATAATAGAAAAAAAATCTGAAATTTCTTGTACTGCGTACAAATAGGCGTTGCTAGAGCCATCAATGGACCCTATACAAAACCGTCTTACTGAAAACATAATGTTTTATTTATGTCCAATTTGTTCGGAAATAGCACTTGTAAGTTTTTGAAAGATATGTTATGTTTGATAAAACTAGCTGGTGGTAGCTGATAGCAAAAAGCTGAAAGTTGGAAGCTTAAAGATGTAACTTTTATTTGTTTATAAGTCGAATGATATATGTATCATGAAGGTGTGTTTGTGGTCGGGTGGCAAGAACAGCATGGTTGTGCACACCAACCCCTCTACCTCGAGTGTGATGCTTGTGCCAATTACCACGAGATGCAATGGACCAATCATTTAAACGAGTATTATTCCAAAAAAGCTTACTATATTTTTAGGAATTTACCTACTTTTGAACTATAAATATAACCACTTTACTACAAACTATTACATATAATTTTTTTTCTCTACCAAACAAACCGCAATACATTTACTTATAATTTCTTACTCCCTACCATAGAACAATTTCCACAACCATCAAACTTTAAATCCCAACAACCATCTATTCGAAACCACTTCCACAATGAAATGAGAAACTATGTTTATCGGGATCTAGACGAATTTTTTGTCAAAATTGCGTGATATGAAGTTCGAAATAATAGAAATCAACTACATTTACAAGGAACTCAAAAACACACATCCAAATAGGAGCAATAACTCTGAGGTTATCAATGTGGCGATGAAATATCACCCATAATCTCAACTTAGTTGTAAACATTTTCCCTATATCAATGTTTGGTATGAGTTGAGTAATTCTCCGATATCGTTTTATTTAATTTTTAATGAAAGTCTAGTATTTTTTCCTTAGTTATTTAAAAAATATAATTTACGTAATTAAAAAAAATAAAACATAAATTGTTTTGATGATGTGGTATACCAACTTCATGAAGATGTGGTTGTAATGAAAAAATATATGCAAACTTTTGAAATATTTAAAATAACATATATATATATATATATATATATATATATATATATATATATATATATATATATATATATATTATCCACTATCCACCGTATGCTTAGGTAGGTTCTACCTAATTTTTTAATTTCATTTGCAATGTATATAGTAGAATAATTATGAACTACCTTAGAAAAAATAAATAACCTACTTTGAGTTTGTTTTTTAAAAAAAATTCTTAAAAAAACATTTTAAAAAGAGAAAAATATAAGTTATTAGAACGATTTGTTATTTTAAATTATGAGATTGATAACAAAAAGTTAACCACTCTTAACCGGCACTCTCAAAATATTACTAAATAAATAAGTTGTTCTAATAAAATGAAAATCCACATGTTAAAGACTCTCACTTTCCGTTTGCCGTTTTATCAATGGATTAATAATCAACTAGTTTTTCGCTAAACTGTACGCCTTTTCAGTTATATTTTAATTGGTTTTTTTTTTTTAATTTTAATCGGTGGTACAAGGTACATGAGCCTATTGAACTGGTTCATGTCTTTTAACGTACATGACCCGACCCGACTTGACCCCAAAAATGTTGTTGATTTTTTTTTATTAGGCTCGCTTAATTTAGGAACCACGTAATTTTTTATTCTAGATTCGCCATTATATATATATATATATATATATATATATATATATATATATATATATATATATATATATATATATATATATATATATATATATATATATAAAACATAAAAAATCTAAAATACTATTTAAAATAGCCTTTGACTTATAAATATTTAGTTTAAAATAAAAATTTTAAATATATATTTTTAAATGATAATTTATTTTAATTCCAGATTTTTTTTTTCTACGCTTTTTTGATATAGAAGTACGTTTTTTTGGAACTGCCATTTGAAAATCATTGTTATAGTTGATTACTGAAAAACCTTCAAAGCCTTTCTAGAACTACCGTTCACCCAAAATTGAAGTTGTACAATTCAAGATTAGAAAAAACTCCATTTAAAATAGAGGCATGAGATGTTCACACTGCTTAAATGTGGGACAATCGGTTTTTATTTTTTTTATTTTTTTTCCCTTTGAACATTGACGGATTATTGTATTGGTTTCTATGGTTTTCTTGTTTAAATCAAATTGTAGGAAAAACATTAAAAATAAGTTTTGACGTTATAGCGTTTAATGGATAGGTAGCTGACCTTTTTTAATATAGGGTCATCCTTGTCATGATATGAATGGTTGTTTGGAATTTTGAAAATATGAAATGCCCAAATCCAGCCTTTATCGATGACAATACATCATATAAGGAGTTAGAAGGTAATCTGTCTCATATCATACTTGCTTTCTTCACCCATATGTCTCATCTCGATTGTCATCTTATATGTGTCATTAGTTCTAATTGATTTGATTAATTTTCTAATGTATATCCTTACGTATAAAATACAAAAATGATACAAAATAATAGTAATGAAAACTAAAATGTGTTCAATTGTTAATGTAAGTAGATAAGACCCGTGGGTGTCAGGTTAAAATGGAGTTAATTTTCATGAAGATGATATAGTTAAATAATAAATTCTACATAAATGAGAATAAACATGTTTTTGTAGTGTCAAAGAAAAATCCAAAGTTTGTTGTGCACTTAAAACGTTAAGTTCAATTTTTTATTTTTCATAAGAAAACAAATTGTCGAGTTTACACATCCATTTATCAAATATTTAAACTATTTTAAATTGACTAATAATATTTTTATATGTATTTAATTTAATGATAGTTGTCATTTGAATTAGAACATAGTTATATTTTACTTTGTCTACGAATTTAATCGGATTGAGATGTTTATTCAATAATATCCAATAAGAGACTTGGAAGATTCATTTTATATTCAAAAAACTTACCAAGCATTATAAATACTAGGGGTTGCATTATAAATACTTTAAAAATGTAGAAACCCCGTTTAACCATACAAAAGCTTCTCATGATTGGGTATATTTATTTTTGAAGTACACATGTAAGGTTTTAATAGAAAAAAAAAATGACAGAAACATGTTATAACAAACAAATAAATTAAAGTGTATTACTATTACAGCATTATTCTATACAAACAAAATGAAGAAAGGAACAAACAATCATTGTTTAACCTGAATATCGTCTCTTAATGTTGGTCAAAAGAAAACCAAGCTTCTAATTCTTCCAAAATCTGGAAGGTTGAAGTTTCAAATTAACTAATAATGTTATTAACTTTTAAGCAAAAATAAACAAAATGATAAATTTAAGTGTGTCTTTCACAGTCAAGTCTATGATGTTTGCAACATGTAAAATACCAACAAAAAATAAATAGTCGTCGCAATATATTTTATTTTTTATCGTTCAACAACAATGTTATCGTTCAATGCATTATCAAAATAAACAAATAAATAAAAACTTTAGTTTGTAATTTAGAATTGGTCATTACGTAATCTAAAAACCTATATAAGTTTTCTCGAAAATGCGAATATTTAACAATTCAAATGCAAATGTATGCTTCATCGTGAACTCTGTTTTTAAAAGGAAAAATTCAAAAAACATACTTTCAAGTGGCTAATACCAAAAACCGGTTTTCAAATAGTTCTTTTTTTTTTTTTTTCTTAAATCGGCTCCAAAGAATTCCAAGAGTCAAAATAATAAACCACAACATAATCGTCGGATCTGCTTTTTTGAAACCATTTATTCTCTAAACTGATTCGGGTCGGTTTTCATATCTTTTTTCCTTCTCATTAATTATGTCACACAATTAGTGTTCAAAAGTCGTTGAACAAATTACCTTTTATGCCAATATCAAAATTGTCTAGCGAGACCTCTTTTTCTAAATTATAAAAGTAGGTTTCAGTTCCATTAAAAAAAAAAAAACAAACTGTACACATCCTTAAGATTTACAAACCGATTCTATAAAAGAAAAATTATAAGTTCGAAAATCGATTTGACTAATATATGAAAATAATAATAATAATAATAATAATAATAATAATAATAATAATAAAAATGCCAACCAACTTTAAAATTGAACGGCGCACACAGCATGTGTTTGGTGGTTGTATTAATGTTAGTTAGTTTGCATGGATAAGAATGTGCCAACCAAAGTCAATCCCAATGCTCATCTGTTTTAATGCAAGCTGTACGCATACCCAGTTATGCATAATACAGTTGGTGTGGGACCCATTCCTTCTAAAACAAGTCAAAATCGTTGACCCAAATTAAAAAAAAAAATACAGCCAATCTAATCACTCAGCATTCATTTCAATTCCAAAAAGTCAAGCCCCATCACTCTTCCATATTCCACTACTTGTTCGTTAACATGTTGCCAAAAAAAAAAAAAAAGGAAGGAATATATCATCTTAAAACGAAAAATGTTGAGGTAATTTTCCAAACTTGTTGGATAAAAAATTGTTGTATCTACGTCGAAGGTCTCCACCTACAAACAAAAATATATATTTTTTTCATGAAAAATTTAGTAAAAATTGGGAATCCAAAAGCCAAAAGGTGTTTTACTTTTTCAAGAGTTACCTTTACATTCAAATGGTGGAATATTCTTGTGTTGAGTAGATTCTACCAAATTTACAAAATCCATCCCTGAAAAAATGTTTTGGAAGGAATTGGAATCTATCAAATGAGCTGGAATTTGAAGGATTGGAATGGAATTGAATTCCGATTCCAGATAAATTTCCCTTACCGGATATTTGTTTCTCTCCTTGATTTACATTAATCAGGAATGAAGGAATTTGGTTATCTATCAACTGTAGGAAGACAAAGTGACAATTGACAAACAAAAACTTTTAAAATGTTTTTCTCGAATATAATAAAAATATATATATATATAAATTACCTTTGAGAAAAGAGATTTTGCAATCTGTAATGGATCACAAAGATATGAAGTCATACCATATGCAGGATTAAATGTCCCATTTTTATATCCTGCTAGAAAATGATAAGCTGCTTGACCATGAGAGAGTTTTGAGATAGTAGGAATAACACCTGAACTGCTTCACATTTAAAAAAAAAAAAAAAACATTTAATAAAATATTA